TAATTATAAAAATACGTTAATTTTAAACAAGTGAAATAAAATTTGAATAAGATTCACTGTTAACAAACCCTTATTGTAAATAACGTTTCTACAAAATTAAATATTTTAATTAGATAATAATAAATTATTTAAAAAGAATGATTTAGTCAGATTAATTCAAGTCAGTTTAAATAAGCAATTTAGATTTTTATAAAACTTAATCTAATCCTTTTAAAAGTAATTTGAATAATATAATCTAATTTAATTTATTTAAAACTCTTATAATATATAGAAAAATAAGTTAAAAAAAATATTTATATAAAAGAAATCTATAAAAAACAATATATAAGGCATGCTACAACAAAACCAGACAAAGTAAACATTAGTATTACTAAGGATTTCAGGAATCAAAATTTAGTTATTTGTAATGTGATCATAATTAACAGTTTTATAATATTCCATTTATTTGTTATCTTAAGTGATATATAGAACTATCTCTATATAAAATTGTTAATATGAAACTCATTTACATTAGATCTACTATGGAACCTAAAAATTACAACACCATTAGAAGTATTTTAAAGAAAGAACAAAATGAGAAAATTGCTCCTTACATTTTCAAAATAAATGATATTTAGACACTTGAAACTTATCTAAGAAAAGAAAGGATTACTTATGAAATTTACCAAGAAGAAAGAAAAATAATAAATATTGGAAAAAGAAAGTATCATAATGATGCATTATTACCCAATAAAAAGCCAAGATCTCTAGAAGAAAAATAATAGGAACAAATTTATTATCTATTTTATCAATGAGTAACTAGATTTCTAAAACTAATACTAATGTTTCACTAATCATGATTCAAAGGATTCTCTTTCATAATTGAATACTGATTTTTTTTTTTTTTGTAAAACTTTTTTATAATAATAAAGTTTATATAAATAAAAAATCATGAGCAAAAAAGAATGTTTTAACTGTAATCAAAATAAAGAAAGTTTAACTGCCAATTGACTAGATGAAGAAGAAAAAAAGGTCACTCATTTTTATTATTGAGATTGTGCCTAAAATATGGTTTAATAAGAACTAAATGAGTGTGCTGATTGAAAAAGAAATAAAAAAAAAATTTTTAGAGAAGCTCTAGAAAAGTTTAAGAATAAAGAGGAAGGTGATTGGCCATGAAGGATTAAAAAGCTAAATGAACATGATCAATGAAAATGAGACAGAATCATCACTATTTGTTCTCAATATAAAATATATCTTTATTGGGATGTTAGTATCTATGAAGACAGTAAAACTATATCTATTCTTAGTGTACTAATTGTTCAAAAGAAATTAAAAAAGGTGAACAAGATTAACATTTTACCTGAAAACAAAATAATACTGTAAACTATCATTGTGAAAGTTCAGAAAATACAGAAGCTTGTCTTGGTTGTGACAGTGTGATTCTTTACAAAAAGAATTTGTATGATTGCTATGTATCAGACTTAGAAAAAACTTTTTTTACTTTTGTTAATATCCATCCAAATAGTATAACTCATTATGTGATGTTAAGCAAAGAGCATATTAGAAACATGTGTAACATATCTATCCAGCAATGAAATAAAATATTGCTAATTCTTAAAGATATTATAAAAAAGATAAACAAAGTTTATCATCCTGTGGGTTTCTGATTTACTATACTAACTGGAAAACTTACTGGTCAAGACCTTTCTTATTTCATGACTCGTATAGTTCCAAAATACAAAAAAAGTTATGGAAATGAGTGTTGAGCAAAAATAACTAAAAAAGTTTTGCAACTAAACTAGGATAATATTATTGCAGAAAGGAGTAAAGTAATTGCAAAATTACACAATGAATTGTCTTTTGGATACACAACTATTGAGCTAAAACAAACTATTTCAAATAAAAATTTCTTATCATTAGAACCCTCAATTTGAACAGAATTTGGTGAAATATTACAAGAACTTATGAATAAAATGGAGAAAATTAATTGTTATGACTTTTATATTTCTCTGCAAACAGAAAAGAAAATAAGTTAATCAATGAAAGAGTGAAAATAAAAAATTGGGAAAATAACATTTCTGATGTAGATGAACTAAAAAAGATAAAAAAAAAAGATAATATTATTTTTGTATTGTTTCCTAAATTTAAACTGCAAAAATGATGAGGTAAAAATCGTGAAGAAGGAAGACCACTTAATAAAAATAGTAAGTTTGTTGGCACTATGAAAAATAAGAGGATTGCAGAAAAATTAAGAGATCTAGAGGCTTATTATCGAAAATGGAATAAAACTCCTAGAGTTAAATTAGAAAACCAATTTAATAAGAATAAAAGAAAGAAAGTTTACTGAATAGTTGGTTGTGGAATACTATTTGTCTCTCTTACATTAGAAGATTTTATATATTAAAATTAGATTGAAAATTGAATTCAGAGTCAAGTTTATTAAGTAGTATTAAAAAAGTAAATATTAGTTTCTAGACTTTCTTT